CTTGCCTGGATGAGTGCAGCCCCAACAACATTCAAGAAGCTTGATACCATCCAGGATAAAGCAGCCCACTTGATTGACACTACATCCACAAGCATCCACTCCCTCCATTACTGTCTCTCAGTAGCAGCAGTGCATACTATCGACAAGATGCACTGCAGAAATTCACCAAAGATCCTCAGACAGCACCTTCCAAACCCACGACCACTTCCATCTAGAAGGACAAGGGCTGCAGATACATGAGAACACCATCCCCTGCAATTTACCCTCTGAGCCACTCACCATCCTGACTTGGAAATGTGCCGGCGTTTCTTCATTGTCGCTGGGTCAAAATCCTGGAATTCCCTCCCTAAGTGCATTGTGGGTCAACCCACGGTAGGTGGACTGCAGCGGTTCAAGAACACAGCTCACCACCACCTTCTCAAAAAAGGCAACTAGGCATGGGCAATAAATGCTGGTCTAATCTGATGAATGAAAAAGACAAGAATCCATATTTATTCTTTTGTGAGAAAAGGAGACATGTCAGGTTGAATGTCGCATTCACTTAAATTAGTTATTAGCTTTCCTTTGCTAAAATGGCGTGCTGTAAAACTTAATTGATTAATGAAAACTTACTTGCCAGTATTGTGTAAAAGTTGTAATATAATTTTGTTCCTCATGGTGACAGCATCAGGCTCTGCAAAGTCAATGAGTAATCATGTTGTACATGGAAAGAAATTACTGGCACTATAATTGCAGTGTGCTGTTGAAGAGTTATGGTGAGAAAGGACACTTCAGTTGCTGGTTCCCATGTAGCTGTCCTTGTTCTTTTGGGGAATAGAGCTCACAGGTTTGGAAAGTGCTGTTTGGAAAGAGTTCAGTGGTTTACCTCAGTGCACCCTGTAAATGGCACATAGTGCTCCACTTGTGTGTGGATGGTAAAGGAAGTGCATGTTGAGAATGGTGGATGTGGTGCCAATCAAGCAGAATACCTTGTCCTGGATGGTGTGAATCTTCTTGAGTGTTGTTGAGCAGCACCCATCCAGGCAAGTGCAGATATGCCAACACACTCCTGACTTGTGCCCTGTAGATGGCTTTGGGGAGTCAGGAGATGAATTAGTCTCTGCAGGACTTACAGCCTCTGACCTGTACTTGGAGCTACAACATGTATATGTTTTGTTCATTTTCTAATCAATGGTTTCCACCGGGATGTTGTTTGTGGGGAATTCAATGATGGTGATGCTATGGAATTTCAAAAGGCAAAGGTTAGATTGTCTCTTATTGGAAATTGCACTTGTAATGACATGCACATTACTTGCAAATTGTTCTCACAGTTTTCCAACTGCATTGGAGACAGACTGCTTCGGTATCTGAGCAGCTTTGAACGATACTGAACATCAAGCAGTGAACAGCCCTATTTCTGACCTCATTGGGAAGTGGCTGAAGATAGTTGGATCTAGGACACTACTCTAAGCAATGCTTTTCTGAAACTACCATGAACTATCTCCAGCAATTACAATTCTCTTCTCTTGTCACATTTAAACTTCATCTAACACCTATTAGCCTAATACATCAACATGTCAATGTACATTTGCAGTGCAGGTTTGTTCAATAATCTTGCGCAGATGACTACAAAAGATGCCAACATGTACTTTGTTCCACGTGGGTTAACACTCGAGCTGTCCTTGTGATACCCCCATCTCATCCCACTCCCACTGCACCCCCACCCCCAAAGCAGTGGCCAAGCCTTTTTCCCCTAACCCCCGCAACGTGCAACATTCCAAGTCTCAACCCCAGCCCTTTGCTGCAAACACCTTTGCTCTCACCCCTCTGCGTTCCCCACTACCAGCAGTACCAGACAGCACTAAAGCAATGCAGGGTTTGAAACACTGGTTGACACAGAAAATGATGTAGCAACGTCTACTGGTATTCAATTAAAAACAGCGTTGCTGAATACAATAATACAAGTTTACATGACAGCACATTTAAAGCAATACTGAAAAAATACAGATTTAAAATATCTTTACAGTAATAAGTTTCATCAGTACATCGAGAAGAAATGGAAAAGGAGGTCATAGTTCTTCACAAATTCAATTCAAAGAAGGTCTATACAGATTGCAAACGTGGATTTCATGGAGGTCAAATTTCATAAGATAGAACAATGCCTCAAAATTAAACACTTAAGGCCAAAGCTGAGCAAATGAATATACTATTGTATTCGAAAGATCAGAGGATCCCCTGGTCCTCTATACCTCTTAGGGTCCTACAGTTTATTGTGTTCTCCCTTGACTTGGTAGTTTTCCCAAAATGCACTGCCTCACACTGATCAGGATTAAATTCCATTCGCTACTGTTCAGCCAATCTATGCCATCCTGTAGTCTAAGGCTATCCTCCTCGCTACTTACCACATCATCGATTTTTGTGTCATCTGTGAACTTACTGGTCATTCCTCCCGCATTCATGTCCCGGTCATTAATGTATACTACCAAAAAACAGGAGATCCACCACCAAACTTTGCAATATGTCATTGGCCACAGGCAAAAAAAACTTCAACCATCACCCTGTGCTTCCTGCTGTTATGCCAGTTTGGATCCAATTTGTTTGAGAGATAGTAGGAACTGCAGATGCTGGAGAATCTGAGATAACAAGGTGTAGAGCTGGATGAACACAGCAGGCCGAGCAGCATCAGAGGAGCAGGAAAGCTGACGTTTCGGGCCTAGACCCTTCTTCATTCTTTTCTGAAGAA